TTTACACATAAAAGGCATGGATAATTAGAGGAAAAATGTAATTCATCATACGTTTGATAATCAGTGAGATTTGGTCTCCTATCTGCACCAGGGCATTCAAATAACCCCCCCTACTATTAGCACCCCACTCTGCCTCACAACAGTAGTCTGTTTTGCCCTCCCTTTGTTCCCCTACAACACATTATCATTATTGTAGCTAATTGCATGGTTTGCCTTGAAGTCTTGCTGGAGACTCGTGATCTGGGGTTGAAACGTGGACAGGGATCCAGTCTTTTCCACAGCTTGCTTTACTCCACTAATTGCCGTTACCACAGGATAAGGCGTGCTCCTCGCTGCGGCCAGCCGGACAAAGATGGAACAAGCAAGGGCTGGACTGGGTGAGGAGGGGGCTTCTATCACACAAGGGTGGTAAGATGTGGGAGGGAGAGCAAAGGGTGGCGTAACTGACGTGGGATGGGTAGGCCAGATTGGGGAGGGAAAGGATAGCAGTTGGGGGTAAGCAGGAGGGATGGAACCAGCGTTAGATGTAGGTCAGCAGGAGTGGAGTACCCTAAAGATTACAGTTGGTTAGTGCGACCCCTCTCTGACAAGATCTGAGCCCCTGCTCCCAGCAGAGGTGGACCCTGGCATTTGGGGAACCCAGCTATTAGTGAGGCTAATAAAGCCCAAGCAGAAAGTTTTGAACCTGCAGTGGCCTGGAGACACTGTCCTGCTCCAAAAATACAATGCTGGAGATTTCCTAACGTTATCCCAAATTGATTAAAACTGTCTCTAAATAACAGGAAATAAAGCCGTTAACTACGAAGTGTTGCAAAATTTATTTAGGCAGACACTGATTGCCCTTTTGGAGCCTCTCCCACTGACTGTATTTTTTATGAGCACCTCTTTTTATTAGCATTGTTTATTAAAGAAGTGCAATTTGAAAGGCAAGTTCATCCAAGTCTAAAAATTGGAAATTTTTCTGAGCTCTGATAGTTTCCAAATTCATTCGGGATTGCTAGTTTTACGCCGCCGTATCGTCTTCTGACTTCAAAATGAGTCACGGCTCCCTGATGTGGCTTTAGAAAAGAAAACGGAATCATACACATAACTTGTGACAAAGCCTCCGTCACCTAACACAAGATCTCATTCTGTCTGTAAGAACTTTACGAGGTCTATCCCAGAAAAATAATAAATACCTTCCTTTCATATAAAGCCATTTGATTTTGTTCAAGAGGTGTTTTCATGACCAAACAAAGGAAAGGGTGTCATTAATGGTATCTATTATGAACTAGAGCCTCTTAGTACAACAAAAGGATCTCTAAAATATGAAGTGAAAAGCTACCCAAGATGAAGCTGGTAAAGAAACAAGCGAGGAAGAGCCTATTTCCACAACACAAACAGATTTCCTGGCCTTTAGCAGTCTCTTACTGGGATACTTTGAGACATATCCATCAAAACACAGCTGTATTCATTCATATTTCATACCTCCTCCTTCTCCCAGTGCTTTAACACTGTTCTTTGATCAAAGAAGAGAAGTCGGATCACAACAGGAAGGTTCCCTGCCAGCCAAGAAGGAGAAGGAAGGCCAATCCACTACTGTACATGTTACCGTATAGATAGCTGTTCCTCAACTCTTCCATTACAAGAAAAAAAAAAGAAGAATATAAAATTAATGGATGGCTTGAAACGGCAAAACAAAGAGGAAACAAAAGACTACTCATAGATTTTTTTCCACAACCGTGTAACTTCAAGACAATGTAAAGCCCTTTAGCAAAATGATTATTATTATTTTACGTCTGTCTTAGTGAGTCAGAATGCAGATAATTTTTTTTTACCCAAAGTTTGATGTAAATGATTTTGTTGGATTTAAAGAGATAACAGTTTCAGTAACTTAAGTGATGGAATTGCTGGGCGACCGGTGCGCTGGAGTGGATTCAAAACACACAGCTCAAGAGTGTCACCATGTGGAGATGAGAAGATATGGCAAAAGAGGAATAGAGCAGATGTTAGAACAAATCTAACTTAGAACAACACCATCTCTAGAAAAATATCCATCCAACCATCCATTTTCTTTACCCACTTCTCTCCATGTCATGAGGAGCTGGTGCGTATCCCCAGCAGTCACTGTGGTGCACCCTGGACAGGTCGCAAGTCCATCACAGAGACAACCGAGACTTTCAATTATTCACTCTTTAACCCACACCACCATTTTTATTTGGAGTTAAGATAAACCTAACATGCATGTTTTGGTCTTTGGGAGGAAACTGGAGTAAAGAAAAAACAACATGTATACAGGGAGAACATGTAAAGGCCCCTGGGAGTTGATCCTCCAGCATTATCACTGATTGGCAACAGCTGTAACCACTGCACCGACCACGGCTCAAAGTTGCAATATTTTCATTTTTACCACTCTACTGTAGATTTGCAGGTTGTATTTATTGTCCACTGCTATGTTAAACCCTCAACCTGTCCGTTTACCTTCCATCTAAAATATCAATTCCAAGACACTGCGCTTCCAAAGATCCCTTTCAGTAAGACTGAGGGAGAGGGGAAAAAAACCCTGTTTGAAGACCTCCCTGACATTTAGACTCTCTCTGAAGATGACTTTGCCTTCTACTATTGCCTGCGGGAACACAGTAAGACCCACACTTAACTTCAATTGAAATGCAGCGCCAGATTCCTCCAGGGGAAATTATCATTCTGTTCATAATAAGAATCACAACAAGCACCTGGAAAATGACTTTATTACAATCGCTGCTTCGATAAAAGTTTCCTCTGACCCACTGGAAATGCAAACAATGCAAAGAGCACAACGGTGATGAAATGAAAACTATTTTATGCATGTGATAGAATACTCATTCGAAGGGAGACGGTGTGAGGATGCGCATCTGCTTGGACGTGCTTGATTGGCATGTGTAGTGTTGCGCTGTAGCCTTGGATAAGGAGCTCTGAGACCTTTTTTTCCTAGAGCTATTATCCAAATATGTTCTGTTTTTTTTAAGTAAATGATTAGCACACACACATAAATCAAAGTATCAAAAATGCATTGGCCCTCATAATGTAAATCCCTCTGAGCAAGGACATGTAACAATGGGCCATTCTCAGTTTCCTGTCCTTTCCCTTTTTATGCCAATGGACGTGACCTCCACAATTTTTTTTTACAATGGGACATCCAAGCACAAGCGCTTGGCTTCTCTCCACCGCTACTCCACGCAGTGAGGTTGCTTTCATCTTTGTTGTTATATTTAAGGATGACATCCTAGCCTGTCGGCCTCCACCATTGTTTTCAGCGTGATTATTTTCTATCCGTTGTTTAGCCCCAGTTGCGGCTCTTTGATGAAAAGGTCGCCACTCAATTGGAAAACAGTCATTAAAATGCGGTTGGTACTATTCACCAGTGTGCATGGGGGAACCAACTCAACTGAGCTGGTTAATCAAAAGTTAATTATATAATTTTCATGCAGATGAGGGAAACATTCAAATGAATCCCAACTCTACAATCATTACAAAAAATAAATAAAGAAATAATTCTAAAAGGCTATAAAATGTTCAGGGACCAAGAGGCTGTAAACAATATGAAGTTTAATTTGAGGTAAACAAAGTGAATATCCACCAGGGGGTCTGGGAAGGAGAAAGTGAGGTTAAATCAAATTTGGAAACACAGATACCAGCAGGTTTTGTTGTCCTGATATACGTGCAATTAGGCAGGTCCTTGATGAGGACACTGGGAGGGAGAAAGTTGGCTTTAACAACAAACGCTTACATTTTTTTAAACAGGGAATTTATGGGATTTTGTGCTTTTATCTGTAAACATTAATTATTTTCACCAAAGTGTACCAAATTGAATTAAAACCATATTTTAGAACAGGTTGTTAAGACATAATTATCTTTTTATGAAAGCGTTATAAAATTATTGAACTCCCTGCGAAGGCAAGTTTAAACTCATTGCGCCTTTCAAAAGAAAATGCCCAGGACAACAATTTCCCATCTAACTTTGGAAAAGAGGGCAAAGCCAAACGTTAACGCTTTCGATACAAATGCAGCATCTTTCCTCATCAAATAAAATGATTGTGTTATGGAAATTAGAAGCGTGAATATTAAAGCAACGAGGCGAAGTATCGCAAATGAACACGTATTGTTCTGGAAGTGCGCTGGAATGTGGTTTAATTTCTCTTTAATTCTATGTGCGCTTATAATGTTAACCTTTTCCCAGTTGTGCCAGCAAGTTTGAGTTCATTGGTGTGCATTACAGCCACGCTCTAACAATGCGGGGCCTCCCAGGTGTCAGCACAGTTCATGAATCCTGGCCCCTTATGCACCAGGCGATTAGTATGGTGCTCCGTCTGTGGGGTTTTACCACAAAATGAGTTCTCTTTAAAACAAATGCCCCCTGCTGATTCGTCTCCTTTCCTGATATGAAATTCCAATTTTTATAATGAACGCCAATTTCATACACAGAGAGGAGGGGAAAACCATAAAGTTATGCACTTTTTGTCTTGTTTTGGATGATTGCAGTTCCTCTAAATTAAGAAAAGAGCAGTTTTGGTCGTTGCAGGCAGAAACAGGTTAGTTTTGTATTTTTTTGTTGTTGTTGGTTTTTTTTGTTCAATCAACAGTAAGATAAGTGAGCGCAGAAATCAACAAGTGTAATTGTCTACATTGCATATTCATATGACTGGCGTGGCAGAAAATGGAATTACCAAAAGTGTAGCAAATTCAATTAGATCATTGATTTCTAATAAATTGCTCTAATCACCAGCTGTTGTCATGCTAAGACAGTTGTGTCATAAGTTTGTCATGCTTGTCGGTCGTGGCTGCATGCCAAAGGCAATTTCATCTATTTAAAATCTCTTAAATAAGATGTTTTTTTGTTGTTCTAAAGACCAAACCCTTAAGGTGTATCACCTTTCAAATTAAATAAAACATTGTGACGAGGATGGGATCAAATATTTATTACAATTTTCAGTGGATTCAAGGGCTAAAGGCATGCATCCATACTGATGATAACAGTACAGTCCATCTTCCTTTTTTGTTGTCCCGTGTTCATTCCAGAGCCTTTTTCCAAACTTTCCAGTCAAAATTACTGGAATCCTCATTAATCTGAAGAAATTAAAACGAGACGTTAAGTCATAATTCATTACTCATATTGGAAGATTTGGTGGAAAATCTTAATTAACATTCAAGCACACAAGATAACTAACAAAGTCATCGCACCAACATTACAGCTGCCATCACTCCAACAGATAAAATTAATCATGCACATAATCAGTCATGCAAAAGCAGAAAAATAAAAACGGTTTGTATATTGTCATTGCCGTTTTGGAACACAGCGGTTGCAGCGGCACCGCTTACATTAATATAATATAATACAGTTGTAGAAAACATCGTTGATAAATTATGTATAATAAGCACTTACGTTGTATGGCCTAAGTCTCTCTAGGGTCTGGGCGCTCGCCTCTTCGGGATAAGACACCACTCCTCCTGTGCCCATCATCTAAAAGCAACAAGAGAGAGCAAGGGGAAAAAAACAACACAGTTTGGATACATTTCTTTAGCTCCAACATTCTTAATCAGGTGTCATAAAACAAATCCATGAGGCTATTTCTGCTAAAATGTACCTTTAATTCAATGAAGTGAGCACATTTCCTGTAACTGAAACTACTCATAAAATAATCGCTCACCCTGATGGTCGCCTCGAGCTCTCCCACGCTTCTCTTTCCACCTGGTAGCCATCCATAGGACCAGTGCTGGCACAGAGTGACCTGGGCCACCAGTGCCAACAACAACACCTGCACCACAACTCTGCTGTTCGCCTTCATTAAAAATGCAGGGGAAGCCAAATATGTAATAATAAAAACACTAATGTCACACCAGCTCTCTAACAGCTCCCAGATCCAGAGTTGTACGACGCAAAGCACCGACCATTAACAAACTATAGACTGTAATTAATAAGAAGGCTAATTCTGATAATGATTTAACAAACTTCAGTAAAGACTCTCACCTCTGTGTTTGCCTGGTTAGCATGTGTTGCATTAGCCAGACGGGGATTTTATAGCTGTTGCACAAGGCTGCTGTCAGGATTATAATCCCCTTTTTGCAGGTGTGACACATTTACAGACTAATGGGACACAAAACACAACTAATGGAGCTGGCTAAGTGCTCAGATATGCTGACATCACTTGGAGGGTTCAAGCAGCATTAAATATATATTACAAAACATTTTTGTGTTGATGTATTGGATGCATCTGTGCAGTGGTACTCAAAAAAAAAGGCATTTGGATGAATCTATTAATCTCCATTTATATTTTATTGAATACTGCTTTTAGCAAAGAGTTGTTCAGAATCCGCAGATAGAAAAATGCAGAAACATCACAGAAAGGAGATGCGCTTACGTTAGTCATGTTTGCTGTAAGGCTTTACTGTCATTACCCTTATTTATTTCTTTACCATAAGAAAAGTTGAATGCCAAAAATGTATTTATAATGAATGACCACAACAGATATTTATGTACACTAAAAACATGATCTGTGAGTCCAGGATAAACCAATCTTACAAACGTTTTAGAGGCACAAACACAGAAAGATTTTCAACTAATTCTGCAAAAATATAAACACAGACTTTTCAAAAAAAATAATTTTATGCAACAATTAAATATGAATGAGTTGTGCATTACATTCATCCCTGTGAATTGGTTTTATGACAATTTCCTTAAAAAAAAAAAATCCCAGAAATGTTTAATCCTTTAAATCAAGACATGCACAATTTAAGCTAAAAGGGAAGAAGAAGAAACATCAAGGTGTCTAAACAAATTTCTAGAGACATTATTTGGATTTTAAACCCACTTATTTGCAAAATGTTAAATTAGATATAATATTAAAACTATGTACTTAATTGATAATCCATACGTTGACCCACCATTCTAAAACAATACATTCTTCCTAATGTTTTTGTGAGATTCAAACAAAAACACAGTAAATATCTGGCTTATCATTTTAAATGTGTCACTTTGTGACAAGTTTTCCTGATCAGAGCTATGTCTAATCGATATGGCACTAGCTTCCACTATATGCAGTCAAACTGTATGAAAATTATAGAAAAAGCTGAGCATGACTGAAATAATATATTTAAATATGATGAAATGTTATTTTCCTGCCTGTTTTAATGTGAGCTGATTGTGTGTGACTGCCTCTTTTCCATTAGTACCATTAGTACCAGTACAGCACGATATGAGTTGTGTTTCCATTATACTTTCAGTTACGGTTCTAGTGGACGGGTTCAGCTCGGAGCTCGCAGGAGACGTGACCAGCGGAGCTCGGAGCCCGCAGGAGCTTGCATGGCCGAGTCCGCCCGTGCCCCGGCCTTGTGCTCTCCTACGGGTCGGCGGCACGGAGCATCTTCCACGGTGATGGCGAAGCTAAGAGCCGGGGAGGTGACGCCCTGCCCGGCCTTAGGGGGGCTCCGAGGCTCCGCAGGAGAGGACCGGGGGGACCGGCAGAGCTCCACCTAACTCACTCTGAATTTTATCGTCAGCCACCAAGCACAAAAAAATGCCTGCACTTCAGCATTAGACCACGGTGTTGTCATTATTGTTTGTAAAATCTGAAAAATAGGTTCAGTCGCTCGTCGAGTTCGAGTTATTGCAAATGGCGGATCAGGTTGTTGTGAAAGTTTCTCAAACAACCAGTGACTCCACCCCCTGACCAATCAGTGACTGACGGTGTTTAGGCGTTAAGGTTTTTGTTTTTTAATTCAACCTTCATTTATTCAGGTTAATCCCCTCGGTAGTAGTTGTAGTTTTAGGGTCAGTTCGGCCCGGTTGGAACCCCAGAGAAAAAGGGACTGAAAAAGGAACCGGTTCCACGAACCGTTGCTGGTGGAAAAGCCTTGGAACCGTGCCGAGTCGAACCGTGCTGTACCGTTACTAATGGAAAAGGGCCATTAAGTTGTAGGCACAAATCCAGCATTGCCACAGGCAAAAAAAAAAAGAAAAAAAAAAGTTACCCAGTCTGAATGAAACTGCAACAGGCACCAGCTGTCTAATTGATTTGAAAAAAAAAGAAAGAAAGAAAGGAAGAAGTGAGGTAATATACATAAACTAACAGAAATAAATGTGTATGAACATGGATCATAAATAATATTTACAAATTAGAAATAAATCATATTACATGCACAATCTAGCAACCCCACTGATAAATAAAAATATTTGCTCAACACTACATATCATACAAACTCTTCTGTATATCACATGGCACACGCTTTTTAGTCCTGCGGTGGAGTTCAAAATGTAAAAAGGCTTTAGAAAACAACAAAATGCATTTGCACAGAAACGTTCCTTGATGAGTTTTATTTAAAATTGGCGTAGTCTGAGAAAATGTCAATAAAGTCCTGGACCACTCTGTAGCAGAAGTCATACTGCTCCTGGAAGGAAAAGCAAAAGGAGAAGCATGACCATGTATTCGAGTAGAAACTATTCCGAACAACACGAACAGGATGATGATTTCTTCTTTTTGCTCTTACCATGGTTTGAACCATGTGTGGCCTCTGCATACGTAAACTTTTTACAGTCTGAAAAACATCCAGGAGGCCTTCAGCTTTTACTCTTTCCAGAATGTTGCTGAGAGCAATAAAAGTCCCGGTCCGGCCCGCACCAGCACTAAAGGCAAAACCAACAGAAATATTAGCGACCGCGTAACAAAATACACATTAAAAGATCTATCAAAACTGTGAACTGTCACAAAACTGCAGCAGACAAATAGAAAATCACCTAGAAATGTTTTAAATTCATTTACCACAGAGCTGCTGCTCATCTAATTTGAGCACATCTGTTTGTATTTAACCTAAAAAGTTAGCAAGAGTAAAGGTGACCTTTGTGTAATGGCTCTTGTAATTATCCTCACTTAAAGAGAAGCTAATCCAAACGCTAACACTAATCAGTTTGGAAGCTCGGTGTTTGACTGAGTCAATGTTTACAATGACGGTGGGATGAAGAGAAAGTGCACGAGCAAACCGCGGCGAGAGAGAGAGAGAGCGAGCGAGATGCACGATTCGGAAGAGAAAGTGTAGAAAAGACGTTAGGGATTGCATTGGGTTAGCCCCATTCCCCTGAGATGGAGAAAAAAGCTTTAAAAAGCCCTCCTAGACAAGCGGTGATGAAGGAATAGAAGCAAGTGATGACACCATTTCCTGTCGTTAGCTCATCTTATCAGATTAATCATGGTGGGAGTCAGAGGAGATTTCACTTTGAGAGGTTTTAATTGACTGTGAATCAGTGGATTGGATCAATCCCATCGGGGCGTGCTGCTTTAGAATCACTTCACCTGAAGCTAGGTTCTGATCAAAGCTTTCACAGCTAAGTCTTTATAAGGGATCACATAAGTGGTTTAGGGGTTGAATGCTGGGACTACTGAGGAAATGTACACATTATTGTAACAGACGTTTGCAGGAAGAAAATATACATGTATAAAATTGGAAATGCAGATAATAAACAAAAGGCAGGATGAAAGAAAAGCACGAGTAGATGTACAATACGATGCATCGGTGTCCAACTGAAGGCCCTCACCTGCAGTGTACCACAATGGGACGGTTTCCAGACTGCTGCTGCTGCCTCTGAACCGCAGCAATGATGTCGATCATCCCCCGTCCCTCGCCTGGTGTCCCGATCTCAGGCCACCCGTGGAAGTGGAAGTGGCGAACGTGTTGTGACTGCTTTTCCTGATGAGATTAGCAAATTGAAGCATTAGTTTCTAACCAGTGGAAGCATGCAGCATGATGGGCAAATATCAGATCAAAGAAAAGGCAGGGGAAATGTTAAACATGAATTAGATTATATTTATATTATATTCTCTAATAGATTAATGTAAAAAAAAATTAACAAAACAACAACTCTGATTGATATGTCACATTACGCACGTGTTTGCAGGTGAGCACCAGATCTCTGCGAGTGATGGTTTCACACTGTGTGTCTCCAGTCAGCTCCAGTGTGTAATCTCCAAATGTTGCACTGCCCTCTGATGGCCAATACTGGAAACACTTTTCCTGGTGGGAAAGGTGGAACGGAAATCAGCTTGGCTATTTGACTGACATCCACACAGCTATTGGCGCCACGTTAAAAATATGCAATTAAAACAACGGGAAACGGAAATGCATGCACAAATGGTTCAAAATAACAAGAAAATGAAACAAAACAATCATAAAAGTGGTTATTTAATGGTGCAGATCTGCATCTCATCCAGTACCTGCTCCCTCTCTTTGAGCTCGGTGAGCATAACGATTGAATGACACCTCCACTCCCACACCATCCTCCAGAAGTCCTCCACTGTGTGAGACAGCGGGCCCTGGGTTGCGATAAAATAGTCCTTCTGCCGGTAGCCCTAGAGGGCAGATCATCCAGTAAACAACACTTGAGAGTGCAGCAAACATCATATTTTGCATTGCTTGTAAAGGAAACAATGAGCTTTATTTATACTTCTATGGGAAATCTATACAAGAGTTCAACGGGGAGAGCTTACATCAATAAAGGAGGCATTGATGTAGTCTGTAAACTCCTGTCCTCTTTTCACTGAGAGGATTACTCGGTTGAAATCATCTGCGAAGGGAAAAGAAAAAGAAACTTTTCACAAGTGATGTTAAAAAGAATCAAATGGTTGAATAAGCTGATGGCCTATTAAGAGCAAATTATATATTTTGGAGTAAAGAGTTGCAATTTTGCCACCTTAAAAGAGACAAACCTTATTTTAATCGTCATTAATCGCACTGACATGAACTGATCAGACAGATGTGTACGGCGTCTAAAAAAAACCACCGGGCACTTTGATGTTACTTGATGTGTTCTGAAAGCTGTTCAGAGCAGAACAGATCTTACACGGAATAATCTGAAGCACGCGGTTCTTCCTCATGTTGGCTGGAAGGTTCCCAGTCCTCATGTTCTCCTTCATTATTCGAACGTTGGTCAGCTTCTAATAGGGAGACAAATGAAACCAGATTACCATAATACAAAAAGTTTGTTTTAATCTGGAGGTGGGGATTTTTAAAGTACCGTATTTTCTGGCGTATAAATCACAGTTTTTTGCATGGATTAGCCAGTTCTGTGATTTATACACCAAAGCGACTTATATATGTTTTTTCTACATTCATAACACAATTTACACTTGAAAGCTGCTAGAGGTGTGAGAGGGCCCTCTGGGCTTTTGACAACTACTGCTGAACACCCCCCCCCACAAACACACACACACACACACACACAAACATTCACTTCTAGAATCTAGAATCTAGAATCTAATCTTCTAGAATCAAGGTGGCTGCATGTTGGGGCAGCTCTGTTACTTTCATTCTGAGATTTTGCTTTTGGAAACTTTAATTCCTGGTTTTCTGGATGTAAATCATATTTTTTGGATGATTGTTTCCTCTGGTATCAGATGCTGTGCAGCTGGAAGGATTTTTACTGAAACTTTTTAAGTTTTGGACATTTGTTATGATGCGTAACCATGGCAACAAGGTTGTTTTCTACAACAACAGCAGCTGATTAACATCTCAAAAGCTCAAATAATATCTCAACTATGGCCCCAACTCTCAAATGAGTTGAAAAGGATGTTATGTGGACGCATTCTCATCTACCTGCCAGCTGTGCTCGAGTGCCTGACCACTGAGATCCTGGAACTAGCTGGAAACATGGCTCACGACAGCGGAAGGACAGGATCGTCCCTCTGCACCTCCAATCGGCTGTCCACAGCTATGAGGAGCTCGGCAGACTGCTGGGAGGAGTGGCCATCGCTCTGGGAGGAGTTCAGCCCAGCATTCAAGCGGTCCTACAGTCCAGGGGAACTGAGAGGTCAGCCGAGTCTGGGTGGATGGATCGGACGGCATCTGCAGCCAGTTTCTTAGGATCCACTGTGGGATGGACCTTTACAAGAGATCCTTGCTGCCTACAGCCATCAGTATCTATAACATCTCATAATGAAATGAAGATAACAAGTTATAACAACAAAATAATTTCCCTTTGGGATTAATAAAGTATTTTTGAATTGAATTGAATTGAATTGAATTGAACTGAGAAAAAACTTAACACAAGTAAAACGCCCCCAAACAGAAAATCCTATTTTGCAGATTACAAACTGCAGGTAATAAAATATGCACCCCTAAATGGTAATCGAGTAGCAGAAAGAAAGTTTGTAAACGGGTGGGGTCCATGCAGTCTATTCGAGGAATTCACCCTATCTGAAGGGACGGCCGTACGGCGGCGGAGAATCCCCCATTGCAGGGAACCTTCCCCCTGTATCCAGCTGGCTCCTGCTGGGTGGATTTCCTCCACTGCGGTGTGCTACTCATCCATCCACCCATCAATCTATCCATCCATCGCGGCCCTGGGAAGCAGCGAGGTGCGTGCAGGAGGATGCTATAGAGCCGCAAGCAACCTTCATCCCCGCTCCGCCACCGGATCGGGGAGGAACACCTGCAGCAAACGTCTATTTGCTCAGTGTCAAAACGGCTTCATTTCACCGCGCCGCCCAGGTGAAATCAAACTGTTTTGACCATTAAAGTGCATTTATTAAGGAAAAGTTCAACTCAGACACACGTTTGCTATAATGTAGAGCAAACAAATAATTGTTTTTAGGTGTTAATCTTGATAAATTTCAAAGAACTGCAACAGCGAGTCCTCCCGGTCCCACGGTCCCGCATGTTTCCCGGGGGTCAGCGGTGACACATAATAAATGTGACTTAAATGCCAAAGCGACTTCTATATGTTTTTTCCTCTTCATGATGCTTTTTGGACTGATGCGACTTATATGCCGGAAAATGCGGTAGCTAAAACAGACAGTGATTTAAAAGCATTAATCTAAAACACTAAGGCTGGACAAAGTCATTTTCCTGTTGGGAGACAACAATAATAATAATAATAATAATAATAAAAATAGATAAAAGACATTGGGCCATGATCCCATTCAATGTGTGGAGCGCTATGGAGGGCTGTGCAAGGAAAAAAATGGAAATTTTCTCAAAGCTAAAACAAATTTGAAGTGGCAGATGGTGGTGTCTTCTAAAGTTTCACTTCATCCAAATCATTATTTATGTTACCACTGCCAAGAGCAGCACCCTGGGCCATATTTCCACGATAATATAACGGTGCGAGGCACGAAGTGATGGGAACGATTCACTCCAGACTGAATTGTTTAAGACGGCGCTTCTTCCTTCATACCCTGAATTCCTCCTCCAGGCCCAGCCTGTCGTGGGGGGCCCTGGTGTTGTGCAGCCTTTGCAGATGGCCCTCCAGAGAGCACACATCCAGCTCCGTGTCCCCGTACAGATAGTACTCTAACAGAGCCTGGTAGATAAAGGAGTACTGCATCTGAGGCAGAAAAGAGAGGAAGTCATAACTATTGTGGATTTGGTTTGCCAAACCATATAACACACACAAATACACGGTCGTTCAGCAAGTCTTTTCTTGTTTGTGCTGTGACCGGAGCAGCGAGTTGGAGCTGTCAGTTCAAGGTACAACAGGTCGGAAGGGGTCGAGACTCACATCTGTCTGGATAAGTTGACAGCGCTGTTCTCGTATTCGGCTCACAAAGCCGAAGACATCCACTCGCTGCTCCATGTGCATCATGTCGATCATGCTGTCAATGACAATGAACGTCCCGGTCCTTCCGACTCCGGCACTGTGGAAACACAAACAAGAGAAACGTCTCCTCTGTAACAGCTACAAAACAACACGTCCAGTAGGAGAACATGATACAGTCACTGCTGAGGCATTCACCGCTTTCAAGACGCAAAACAGCATCGTTCTATTTCCCACGCGTATAACAAATTAAATATATTAAAATGTCATATTTTGGTGTCTTCTCGTTATACTAGCTGATTTTTTTAATAACAAAGAAGTCAATTGTGAATGCGCATATGTGAAAGCGTTTCACCTCTGATGCCCAAACACCCCCTAATAGATTTACTAGGGTCATTTCAGCAAACTGCACTACTGGGAGCACAAAGCCTGGATTCCACAAGGGAGAGGGGGTTGTTCTTCTGCAGCGGGCCCCGTTCACAAACAGCAGTTCTTCCCCTTGAACACCTGTTGTAGCAGTTGCTACAGTCAGCTGCAGATTTCTTTGTACTGATTACCAGCAAACCCAATACCAGAGCATTTAGCTTTAACTGTTAATGACATTTTACACCAATATTCAGCATTTCAACTGTTTTTTTTTATTTATTTTTATCTCAGCTTTTATATTTTTTCTATAACCACCGTTCCTTTGCTTACTTCTTCCCGCTGGGCGTTTTACCTGCAGTGCACAACAATGGGTCCAGCGTAGGACAGATTGACAGCCATGACCTTCTTGAGGAATTTCAGCATGCCGATGGGTGTGAACGGCACCCCGAAGTCTGGCCAGCTGGTGAAGTGGAGCTGGGTGACCAGCCGAGGAGCTCGGAGCCCGTCGCTGCCCTGCTGCGAAACAAACACACGGTTTATATCTGAACAGAACAAATCACCTGTATTAAGTACAACTGTTAGCACTTTAAACAAAAATGCTCTCAATATTTTTTATTGTTGTTTTTTTTTTTGAAAACGTAATAATCAAACACCAGTTTGCCTTCGCCTTCCTCTCCCGAGACACATTTCACTCTCTTGAACACTCGGTTGCTCTGTTTTCAGAGAGCTAAATGTAAAAACACCCAGGCTGTCAGTTTTTGCAGAGGAGCTACTGTGCAGTCATTTTTTTTTCTCTTTATAACTCAGAAAGGATTTCTGTGCTTGTCTGACTTCAGATGGTTAGGGAACAAAGTGAATTTTGAAATCTAAAAGCTTTGCAGCACTCTGACATCCAACTTGGCAATCAAGCTCAGGAAGGAAAGAGATGTGCTTCACCTGCATGCATCTAATAACAATAAAGTCTGAACATTATCAAGTTGTTTATTGCACGTTTAAATACACCTGAATATTTTTTATATGTGCAGTTGCCTGTTTCTTTCTTTTATCTTTAAATATGTTTTTTTATCGTCTATCCAAAATGGCTTTTATTTATTCATTTACTTTTCTACAGATTCTCTAAAAGTTTTTCATTTTCCCAAAAGAAAACTTTTCACAACAGCTTCAGTGTTTAAACAAAGAGTACAGAAAAAAAAACTACTATTTAAACTACATCTAAAATCTGAAAACAAAAGCAAACTTTAGTTCTCTTTATATAGAGTGCGTTCCTTTTGCAACTATTTTGTCCTGTGAAATAGCTAAATATACCGTGTGCACTCACTTTAGGCACTGATTCACAACTAAATATGAGCCAAAAGCACATCCATAATTCATACAACACACTTTGACTTATGTGCATCAGTTAAACTTACATATTGAACACAGAATTTTCTGACGGTGTAGTCCACCAGCACGGTGATGTCCTCCACTGCCACTCGGACATTTCCGTACATCCAGCAGCCTTTCTCTGGCCAGTACTGGCAGCATTTCTCCTGGTGAGGTGATCACAACAATGCTACGATCATTATAACTGAGGTCATACCCATGTGTATATTCTGTGTATGTACAGAGCAGAGGTGGAAAGACTACTGAAAATTTGTACTCAGCGATTAATTGTCTCAGAAATTATTGCGATAAACAATAACATTGTTTGAAATTTGACGATAATTAGTAATTATCGTCAAATTAAAGAATAATTTATGCTAATTGTATTTTGAATGTAGTTTCTTTTTTGACCACCGGATGGTAGTATAAGACTATTTAAACCAAAGGATGGATAGTGAGGGAGCGAGCAGTGTGCCTCTTTAAGAAAAATGGGAGGGAGGCCCCTCGACGTGACATGGGCTGTCTCTCCTTCCTTTTTTCTGGTTCTCAAAATGGCGGACACTCGGTGTGGTTTGAGCTCTTTAGCATAGCATTTTTCACACAAAGCTTTTAATTAAACATTAGTAAACAAGTTATCAGCTTCTTTTTGCAGAGAAAAACAACTTTTTACTTGAAGGCACTGGTTTCAACCGTGAATTTTGGAGCTTTGACAAGACGAAGGTTTTATCCCGAGGTTGGCCTGTTAGCTTAGCTCGTAGCTTAGCTTCTCAGCTTAGCTGTGTTTAACAATCCAAAATCGCAATTTTGGATTGTTAAAACGGATTTTAAAGAGAAAAGAGAAAGGGAGGGGTCAGTGCAGAGCACCAGAGTTGAGCCTTTTGTCATCCAGTATCTTCAGTAGAAAGAAAGAGACATGAAGAAATGATAAAGTTAAGAAATGAAAATGAAGTCGATAATTTTAATTTATCATGCGATTAATTGATTTATTGTTTATTGCGACAGGCCTATACTCATTTACAAGTAAAAGTACTGGGTGTTATAAAAAATACTTAAATAAAAGTACAAAGTACTCTTCTCACAAACTACTCAAACTGATGTTTTATTGTGTTGTCAATAGAAGGCATTCAATTTGATTTACTGTATATAATAGCTACATTCGAAGTTCATTTCTCATTTACTTGTTTTAGTACCAGGCAAACCAATGACAATATCTAAGATCTTTGCATACTTAGTCAAACTAATAACCCACACATACAAACAATAAAAAAGCAATATCATACAGATAGTAGTAAAACCTCGTTTACCACAATATGTTTTATGAGATTAGATGCTGAGGTCTTGTAAGCTGCTATCACCATAGCAACCAAAGAAAGTTTGCATCTGGACACTGTCTCCTTTTCGCCCTCTGTACATAAAAATTCCTCCAGGTATGGCCACGGCAGTGGTGTAGTCCACATTTTTGTAGTGGGTATACCGCGGTAAAGTTAGTTTTAAGTTGGACGTTGGACACCGCTGAAGCCAATGAGCACGAATATCCAACGTAAAACTAACTTTACCGCGGTTGGTTCGTATACTGTGCTTATAAACCAAAATGCACTGGTTAGTACGATGTACTCGTCAATTTATTTTGATTTTTAATCATATTGAACATTTCCAAATTTCTCTGATGCTTATATTTGAATAAATGAAGAACAAACTTTATACAACAGTTGGCTTTGTATTGAAAACTTGTTATAGAATTTATAAAACAGTATCAAAGCAACACATGTTCAAGTATTAAGTAGTAAGTACAGAAGTATTAATTATACAATAATTCGCTGGATAAGTGAATGTAATAAACAAGCGTTACTGATAGATTGTTACAGAAGCATTTAGCTGCCATTTAACATATCAATGACACGTGCCTAATGATATTTCATGTATCATTGGGCACTTTTAAATGGGTATATTGAAAATCTTAAGCTTTTCTAATGGGTATACTCTGTATGCCCACATATCACGTAGACTACACCACTAGGCCACGAGCACTCGTCCTCAACCATTACCTCATCATTTTCTCTGACAGTGTTGTCCTTTGTCTCCATTTTGGCTTTTTCTCCAAATCTTTGGTCCATAAATGACTCTCTACTCTATGGAGTTGTCCTTTGCTTATGTCATAGGTAATTGGCACGTTAGCAATCTGAGAGCTTTAGTGAAGATGCAGATGAACGGTTTGAATATTAATTCCAATGGCGGTCGTACTCAGTAGCGACTTCTGATTTTAAAAGTAGTGAAGTAGATTACATGGTCTAAATTGTACTTAAGTATGAGTAAAATTACACTTGAAAGAAATACTCATGAAAGCACAAGTACTCAAAAAAAAAAAATCAACTTAATTACATTAATTTGAATATTTGTAATTTGTTACTTCCTGGTATAGAGACAATTTGGTATTTTTGGGTGTATTTCACGACCCTATTTAAACAGTCATCAGGACTTTGTGTGACTCTGACAGTCGATAAGGTCCTCACAGTGACGTTTCAACCCATTAACTAGATTCTCTAATTATCACGAAGCCTCTTAGGATCTTATCAACAATTATTCCATCATTGATCCCCACTGCCTCCATTCTGCCCCATCAAACTTGTTTTTGAGTACTCAATTATCCCGTTGAGGTTGAATTTAATGCAACGCTAAGTAATCTGCTGGTTTCTCCATTAGCACAGGGGTCAAATAAATTATGCTCCTGACTTTGGGTCATGAGAATACAAAAGAAGCGTTTCACCTATTGCGCATTGGAGACATATAGATTTAATGTGTTTAGCCTTTAGCATCAAGAGTGCTGAGAAATGCAAAAAAATAAAATTACCTCTTTTCTTTCTTTAAGATTTGTCAGCATGACTATAGTCGCAGTTTTCTGTTCCCAAATCATTCGCCAGAAGTCAGCTACTGTCTCCAGCTTTGGGCCTTAACCAGAATAAAGAAAAGTCGTTAAAACACATAAAGCTAATGGTCAAAAACGCAACATGCTTGTAGTTTGTGTACCTTGAGCTGCAATGAATTTATTCTTCTCCTTATAGCCCTGTGTGGAAAACAAACAAACAAAAATCAACAAATTATTATCAGAATATCAATTTGAGCGCTGCAAGCTGATACGATATTAGATGATCAGATGGACCCCCACTGCCTAAAATGCTTACAGACAGTTTTGATGACAGTGACCAAAATGATAAAGGTAGAATCTAACTGACTGAGCTAAAACTTTACTAAAACTTTACTGAATGTTGCAAGAAAATACACACATTTTTATTTGCATTCTCAATGAATTTGAAGTATTTGCAACCGTGAAGTCCTGCTTTATTCAGCCAGCTTTAGAAAAGTACCGTTTTTTTTCACAACTCACTAAACTGTATTTTAAACCATGAACATTGTTTTGTTGTGCACCCCCACCCATATTGTACCCACCTTGGCAGCTGCCCTCAAATTTATTATTGAAATGAGTAGAATACACATTTGAAATAGGCAGATTTAGACTTTATTTATTATTATTATTACTATTATTTTTAAATGTTTCTCATTTCTTTCCCTTGTTTTTTTTTTTGTTGTTTTTTTTAGATCGGGCCATGTTTTCAGTCTGAAAAAGGATCCCATGCAGGTGTCAAAATACAACTCTTGCAATCTTGAGACAGGTTGGAGATGTCCAAGACAAAATAGAAAAGACCTTACAAGGCTCTGGGACTAATTTGAGAAGAAAAAAAAACACATTGTTGTACAAACATTTTAAAAATCAGCCAACTAGACTGTGAGGTTCTGCATCTCAGGCTTAGAAATTAGGAACCCCTTCAACCATTGCAAGACTCTAAATCAGGGCTATTCAACAAAACTGCTGAGTGGGCCACAGTTTCTGAAAGCCAGCAGCTCAGTGGGCCGGACATCCAGCAATTAAAACCATTATGTAAATAAACCAAAGTTTACAATGATCTGTTACCTTTTAAAATTGTTTATTTTATTGCATTGAATCATAACTGCAATAAACAGAACCCAAAACAAATTATTGTTATTATTATTTTTAATCAAGTGGGCCGGATTGAAGTCACCCGCGAACCGGAAATGGCCCGCGGGCCACCAGTTGAGTTTGCCAGCAGTCGAAAGCACACGAGGAGTGTTCTAAGCATTGTGATGACAGATAAGGATTGAAAAACATTACAATATTCAATAGCATTTTTACATATTACACATTATTATACTCACATCTATATAAGATGCATTTATGTAGTCTGAGCAGAGATGTCCATCAAGATGACTCAAAACCACCCTCGAATGATCATCTGAAACAAAGACAAAGAAACTCCTACTTTTTTATACACAGTTGCAATGACTTTTCTTAAGATTTACTTATCAATAAACCCAGGGCGGACCATATAGTAAATCCTCACTCACATGGTAAAATGTTTGGGTATCTGTTTTTCTCTCTGTTGTGCTCTCTGCTCGCCTCCTCAAAGGACCCATGGTGGTAGTAACATGGCAGTGACTACAGAGAGAGAGAGAGTCCAATTCTCGTGAGAACAAAACAAAAAGCCACAGGTACAAAGCCCTCTAACAAAATATTTTATTGCTTTTTTTTGTACTTGTTGTAAGCTTGCAGGACAAACATCTTCATCCACAACAAATACACTTGTGCCTACATTGAACTCCTCTCTGAAGAGCTTGCAGTCGTCAGCGGAGCGGATCCGGTACTCCTCCTCCAGCGAGGCCAGAGGGATAGGGAAGTACCTCTTGGAGGGCGAGGGAGATCTTGGGAGGAGGACCACTGTCTGCTCTCCTGTGTTTAAAGGGATATATGGCGGTCAGGCAGCAAACGTCTCCCAACAGAGAACATTACAAGCTCTCACAGCACCTGCAAAAACAAGCCTGACGACTATTAAGATTTCCTACCTCTGTGACCGCACGTCAGAAATGATTTCTCGAGTCGTAAACCCGCTGCACAAAAACTATCTTAGCTCAGAATTTGGCATTTCCGTTCATTTATTTTTCACTTGAAGAGAAGTTTTATGTGGCTCCCTACGTGCTATGAAATCCGAGAGACTTCTCCAACCTTTCCACCTTTCATGAGGCTTTTCTTGTTCATAAGGAATATAAATTTACAAGTCAAATAAAAAATGAATGAAAACGGAAAAGGCAACATTTCGTTTTCATGCTCTGCTGGGTATTTTGAGCGCAGCACAAGAGTACCTTGTTCCTCCAAGAAGCCATTTGGAATCTTTTTATCCACCGATGTAATAAGAGCTTTCTTGTGGTTCTTGAACCTGCATCGACCACAGAACAAGTCAGTATAAAACACATCGTTCTGATTAATGCAGAATTACGATGCACCCGCGATAAATCACAAACAAACTTGGAGACCAACATTAACCATCTCAGAGAAGTGAAGTTGTTCCTCCTCATGCTGTCGTCAGGGAGCTTCTGGCCTGTCCTGACTCAACCGTTCTTGTTTGCTGCCTTACTTAAAGTGCAGCTGTTTACCCAGAAGTCATTGCCCACCGCCTGTTTCAAAACCACCCCCACCCTAAAACGTTCTCCTTCATTCTAATGCGTATTAAAAGACAAAGAGTAAGTGCAGATTTATTTGCATATTTTATATGTTGTCTAAACCAGGTCTCTCTTGAAAATGAATGAGACTAACCTGTATAAATAAAGATAAAATAAATAAATTATAATTTACCTCAGACAGTAAATTGTGAGCAGGACAACAATAATCAGAAGTAAGGACAAAACCAATGTCGAGGGCAGCACATGAGCACCCTGGTGGGTGGGGTTTTCTGCTTTAAAACACAAAGAATCACATTTAAACAAAAAAATTTTAAAAAAATCATACATTTAGAAATATGTTAAATTAACAATACAGGAATATTAGTAAAAATACAGCAATATTATTGTAAATGCCGTTTCAATAGTGTGAACAATATTGTAAACTCTGTTTCTTTTTATACTTTATAGTTTTGCAATTTTGGGGCGTAACTGCATCTTGCGTATGTAATTTCGTTCCACCTCATGTACCACATGTGATGCGAATGACAATAAAGAGATGTGAACTATATGTTACAGCACTGACTGTAAATAATTTTGTTGAAACTTACTGGTATCCAGCTGCCAGTTAGTTGTCATAAATTTTACAACAACTTGTTCACAGTGCGTGTTTAAAAAAAAAAAGTCAAAATTCAACACAGATTTTGATTATCTCTTTTTATAACAACTTCATACTTTAGGTGACTATAGTGGCTTGTCTTAAAATAAAATGCAGAAAGTATTTTTAGTGTTATTAATAAGATTTTTACCAAAAGCAGTTCAGTTTAATCACAGATGGTAAAACTGGATGAGAAACACACTCTGCTCTTTAAGCTGTTCAGGGTTGTAATCTGTGTGTATTTCTGTTGTAGCTTAAATTAAAAGATTTAATAGTGAGGACATAGAAACAGGGTCTGGAGGGGGCTGTAGCGCCACCTGGTGGATGCAGAAGGACATGCATGTATAAATACTTTAAATGCACCACAGTATATAATTTATCAGTTATTTTAAATCTATGTGCAAAATTTGAAAACAAAAAAGGGGGAAGATCAGCATTAGGTCATGATTTCAGTATTATAGATAGTGCACGTCCAAAATAAATAGCATATTGTAACTTTGATGGCTCATATTAAAAAAAGACAATGAGCACTGTCAGCATGCATGTCACTGCATACAGAGTATTTGGTATTATAATAACCTTCTTATGTGTTTTAAAAGTTATGCAATTTGACACATACTCTCAACACCACCTAAAACTATCACATTGCCATTGCTATGACTAATTTAAAGTAAGAAAGTAATTTGATTTATAAACTGACAAACATGTTCGTTATGCAAATTGTGTCAAATCAATATGAGAATTAACGAGTTTGTTGTTAATGAACAATAAAATAAAATAAAAAGGCAAGAAAAAGAAGCTGTTTAAAAGAAAATGTCTAAAAATACACTGTTTTTCTTATAAAATGCCAAATAAACGCAAAGAATCTTAACTAGATTGAATAAAAAAACTTAAAAGAAGACTTGAGGTTTCGTAAACTTAAATGTTGTTGAACAGGAGCTCAGTTATTTTACCTGCAGTGTGGTTGTCATGGGAGGAATTATTCAGAAAAGTAGTGATCCCAATCAAAAGCAACAGCATCGTCACTGCAGATAAAAACAACAACAACAAAGAAACAAGAAAAAGTGAGGCAGTTTTAAAGCTGTAATTCAAATTTGTTCCACTAGATGGAGCCACAACAACACAAAATCATCTGAATCTGTACAAAGGCCAGAGATGGCAGCTGTGCTGCTTTCATGTGGCTTGAGAGTGATGTTAGCAAGTTTCTCTGCAGCGCATCTAAAGTCCTTTTGGGAAATCTGGTTGTAGTCTGGTTCTGTCAGGCTGACTTGAAAGCACAGCATCAAATATTATAAAACTCAGACATCAAGCTCGAGGAGAGGCTTTAACCCACATGTGACAGTAACCATATCCTCTGTGGACCCCGTGGAGTTGAGCTCAAGCACTATTTGTTAGAAACTGTCATTGTGTTGTGCAGTGTGGCAAAGCAACCAGCTTGGTGACAATAAGACATGAAATCAAACAGTATTTTTTATTTAATCCAGA